ACACACACATATACCTACACACACATGTACAAATAACCTACCGCGGCCAGTACTGGCAGCCAGCCGACTCATCAGCTTCTTCTCGTGAGGTAGAACCTTGAAGTCGAGGAACCAGGTCTCCACCCAGGCCAGGACAAAAGAGATGATGATGATGCAGTACGAGAGCGGGTTGTTGTTGCTCTTTGACCCCTCAAACTGACGCACAAACAACACAGAGAAAAAAAAACACATTGAAAATTTTGCATTTCAGAATTTCCAAAAAAAAAAAAAAAAAAAAAAAATTAAAATAAGTTTCAGTAAGAGTTTTACGGCACTTGCAACACAAAAAGGTCATATAAGTGCCGAAGATTAGAAGTGTTACAAGAGAGTAACAAACACAAAAAAGGAGGAGGAGAGATCAGGACGTATTTCAGAATTTCTAACACAGAAAAATAGAATTAGAATGACATAATTCAGAATCCCCAACAGCTGAAAACAAAAAGTTAAATTATGCATTTCAGAACCACCAACAGCAGAAAACAAAACTAAAATTACATATTTCAGAATATCCAGCATAGACAAACAGAATTAGAGTAACACAAATAAGAATTTCCGACATCAGAAAACAGAAGTAGAATTTAATACCCATTCTAACACACTTCAATGCCATTAACCATCCAGTCCACAAAGCTGCCAACTTTTAAATACCAGAATAACCGACTCTACCCACTGAAACAGAGATCAGAATACGGAGTATGTATCTAGCTTAAGATTATAATTGTTTATATTACTGTTCATTTATATTATGCATGTGACAGTAAGCCTGTGTGTGTGCATGTTTGTGAGTGTGTGTGTGTGTGAGTGTGTGTGTGTGTGTGTGTGTGTGTGTGTGTGTGCATGTGTGTAAGTGTGTACATGGTGAAACATCACACCAATGTGCCAGGATCTGGACAATAAAGATGTGTCTTGTTTTACTTTATCTTATTTTCGTACTCAAGTCCTAAAAAATATAGGCTGTCAAATGTATTTTTTTTACATACTGGTTGGCAGCTGTGCATTCTATCACCTGTTAAGCACCTGTGCAAGAAAGTAAATGGTAGCTTTTAAGCACAAGGGGGCTATCTTGAAAAATGCAGTTTTGAGAAAATCGAAGGTATAAAGTATTTGGCACTTGCTCATTTTCTTTAAAAGACGAGGAGAGTTTTCTCTATAAACAAATATACACACCAAAGAAACCAAATTTCTCCTATAGGTAGGGCAATGCCCACTTTTCGTTTAGGTCAAGATATCAGGAAACCTCCGAAATCTGGGTTATGTTTTTTGTTTTAGTAGAGGTTTTACGGCGCTCGCAGCTGCATAATGTCATATGAGCGCAAGAAGATTAGAGGTGTTACAAGAGAGTAATAAACATTTAAAAAAAGGGAGTTAAGGACGATAGATGTTTCATTGGAAAGAAGAAGTAAACCACACCAGAGCACCCCCCAACTACCCACAAATGTAAGTTATCCCGCTTGTCCTTAAAAGCGACCAAATTGATATCAAAATACTCACATCAAACAGAAATATCTTGGCGATGAGGACTCCACATGTGAGGGCAGTGGTGAACTGAAGAGAGAAAGAGAGAGAGAATGGAGGACACATTTTTTAGAGTCATGTTGAGTTCATCTGTCACACAGAAAAAAATCTGGGGGTCGGCAACATCTGGTCAACCCATGTACAGTAGTTGCGGTGCAT